GAAGAGAGAGAAGGGAAACTCAGTAAGAATATTAATGTACTATGAAATATAGTCATCCCAGCTTGCATACCTTCAGCTCCGGTAACTTCTAGGATGACGACAGAACGTGGTCTATCAAATGGATTTGGTACGAGTACTTCATTCAACTGCAACCAATAAGAATATTGATGATGTAGGATTTGCTTTAAATTCAAAAGATTTGCTACTACAAGATTCAGCTTTCCTACCTTCAATGAACTAGAAGCTGAGAGAGTTACAGGAGGTGCAAAACCAAGCAAGACTGATATAGCAGCACCAACTTCGGAAAGAGCCATGGAACCAATCTGTGCCCGAAAGACCATCACGCAGTTAGTCAATAAAAAATGATCAAACTATGGTGTTATGGAAAAAGATGGATGAGTAAATTCATACAAAATATCGATATGAGAACCCAATAATGCACTGCCTTAATGTTGCAGAAAACTACCTAGTACCAGAGTATGTAGTCTTGCAACGGAACATTAAAACATTAGTTGGAGAGGCTTCAGATTTGTTTTGTTTGTATTTGATGTTTATTTGTAGAAGAGGGGCCTTGGAGCAATGGAGAAGTGCTCTGCGTTTCTACGAGTGACCAGCATACGAATCTTGGAACCAGTTTCTCTGAAAAGGAGGTAATGCTGTATATATTCATCTTCCCCGAGCCCGCCTAGGAAGGAGCCTTCTAATGTTGGCTCTGCCTTCTTTTGAAATAGAAAGGTAACAGATTCTATATAAACCACTATGAGCTCAGCCTATTTGAACTACGGACATCATTATTCAATGCTCTCATGCCACAAATATCAAGCATTAAGCTGCTTTTGAAAGTAATTAAGCTATGAGCTTGTCTCGTTGAGGCATTGACTTTATGTAGATTAATAATGGAAAGCTCCTAAAGTTATGCTCTCAAGTCAACCTATGTAGCATATTCTCCAACAAACATGATCCACAACATATTTCATGTTCGATTACTAGCAAAACTCTTTGCTGAATCTAAGAGAGATCACCAAACAGATAAATGAATCACCAATACATTATTTTTGTGTAAGTTGACTTGCAAGTACCAAGCGATCAATCAACCAATCAACTACGCAACCTCAATTCCAAAATACTTGGAGTCAAATATATGAATCATCTAAACCCGTTCTTCTCTATTCGCGCTAACACTAAGTAATTTGACTTAAAATTATCACACACACAAACGAACAAACACTTATATTCCCTTTATTTTTGTTGCTCAATCTCAAGCTAGTTGACTTGCCATATCTTTCGACATTTAGCTCCAAAGCAGTAACTGTAAGTTGCTAAGCTTTCTATCCCCTATACTTACTATCAATGTCACTTCTTTAATTCTAATTACACCAAACCCACACGCCCAAAAATGTGCAGAACAATATTCTTCCTAATTTTCCCAATCTCATCAACATCTAAATTCTAAAAATTACTACCTTAACCAATCACAATAGAACACAAAAGTACACAATTGAATACCTTAGAAGAAGCATCGGAGGAAGGAGAACGGAAGTAACGGTGAGACGGGTTGTCGAGGAAAAACACAGAAGAGGATCCATCAGCAACCTGATATCAAAAGAGTTATGATTCAGACATTAATTCAGAAATTTTACAACATAAATCGATCCAAATATAAAAGTAACAAAACGAAGAAAAACACTTACAGTAGAATAGAGGAAGAGAGAGAGAAGTATTAGAAAAGTGAATGTGTGTGAAGATTTTTTTGGATCCATTGCTTAGAGAGAGAAAGAGAAGAGAGAGACGGGGGGTTTGAATCTGATGAATCTGATCTATGTGGTTTTGGGAGGAAGAAGAAATTGAGATTGAAGGACATTTAGAATCATAAAACGACGACGTACTAAAGTTGTAGTCAGGGTCCTTACCATTAGCCACTTTTAAGCTGAGTAAAATATATCACAATTTAGAATTGATTTAAAGATTAGCCAATTTGCTCAAACTTCTAAATTTTAAATTATCAGCTCAAACATTTAGGACACTAAGAACTCGTTTGGTACGAGAGATAAGGGATAATTAATCCTAGAATTAAATATGAGATAAATTTATCCCATATGTGGTTGGAATAAAATCACAGTATAACTAATCCCAGGATTAGGTATTCCTAGATTGTAGTATTATTTTTATTTCTACAGGAGAATAGGATAATAATTCCGGGATAATTAATCTTGGGATAGCTTGTTGTCCAACAAACGACCCCTAACTCCTGAACAAAAATTCAAAATACTTAGTCTTGAAGTTTGAGAGAAGTGGCTAATTTATAAATAAAAAGGGCAGCCCGGTGCACTAAGCTCCCGCTATGCGCGGGGTTCGGGGAAGGGCCGGACCACAAAGATCTATCGTACGCAGCCTTACCCTGTATTTCTGCAATAGGATGTTTTCACGGCTCAAACCCGTGACCTACTCGGCTAATTTATAACTACATTATAAATTATAGATATATTTTAAATAGCAGGCTTAAAAGAGGCTACTTGTGCACTTCGCCGTTTTTTTTTTGGGGGGGGGGGGGGAGGGGGGGTAGGGGGATTTAACTGGGACAGGCACAGTTTACTTTGGCCATGTTTTAAAACGTTTTATAAATATAACCTCTATATGTTGTTCACATACGGAAGAATAAATTTTCGTAAATCACTATCTTTTAGCGGTAATTAGCTATTTATAGATACCATTTGCTATATTACGGATTGTAGATACGTTTTCTGTTGCTATAAGATGTATTAGATATATTTAAGCTACTGTATTCATGAATACAGTAGCAAAAATAGGCGTGAATCAGGGAAGTCCAGCTAATCAGTTGTTGTATTCGAGTGTATTCGACTGTATTCATGGCGTGAAACATGGGATTACAGCTGGATAAATTATTGTATTTGACTGTATTCACGGCGTGAAACAGGGCATTACACTGTTTTTAAACGGAAAGTGAATCAATTAACATAATAGACTCCTAATATAACTCAACAAACTCAATTACAACATACAAAATTTGTATTTCCAGTTATAAAAAAGATTCTCAACCAAAAAATACCCCAAAAACATAGCAATCTTCAGAGAAATTATATAATACATCTGAATACATAAATTATGTTAATTAAAAAAAACATATAAATACATTCATGGCATATAGCGAGACGGTGAATACAATGAAATACATAGAATACAGCGGGACACATTGAAATATAATGAAAAAAAAAGATAGTGAATACAATGAAAGACATGGAATACAGCGAGATACATTGAATTACAATGAAAAAAAAGACAATGAATACAATGAAATACATGAAAATACAGCATGATACATTGAAAATACATTGTAATATATCAACAGAAAATCAAGTTGCTCAGTCCCAAACTCTGTCATCTTTGTTGAAGAACAAACCCTAATTTCCGGCGAATCCGCCGTCGAGCAACGAAATAATCCACCTAGTATCTAGTCTACTATATCGTCTTCCACTTCGATTGAGACCTTGTCATCGATGACCATTGAGAATTTCGTGCTTATTGTTTTCTTGATCTCACGTCGAGCAAAGGGATATTCAATCGGCTTGAATTGTATCGTATCGTCCACTGAACTGACGAGTTCATGAGGAACTGATGCAACTGAGAATCGCCTGTTTCAAGGCCGTGTTCTTCTCCGTGCTCAACAGTTAGATCACTCGAATTGGAATTTTGAGATTGAGCATCGTGTTTTCAGCGAATGGGGAAGAGAATGGCATGTATCAAAGTAGAGAGAGAAAGAAAATAGTGTAACTGAATAGCGTATTTAGTGGCTTAGGGGTAGGAGGTAACCAAAATTAGATATTTTGCTATAAACATTAAAAGGAATCTATAGAATATAATTTTTTAAAATGTATTTATTTAAAATAAATAAGGTGTTAACCTTTGCTATAGGAGGTAAAAATTCCTAAAAAGTAATACTACCAGCTCCAAAAAACTAAAATTTAGTCATAAACTAGTAATCGTAGCCGCGCGATGCGTGGGCAATACTAAAAAATATTAATTAAATTAAGTTGTGATCAGGCTTATTTGAATATATTAGATAGTATTGCTTAAATAAATTTTGATTGTCATCTTATTTGTCAATACGATATATAGTCATAGAATAACTTTTTTGTTCTTTATTCTTTATTATATTATCCAATGTTTAGTATTATTACATTGTTAATAAAAAATTGTTAGCATATTACTTTATTTAATATTTTTTTCTGCTACTTTATTTTTGTAATATAATAGAAGATATATATTTTATAAATTTTGAAATATTTTTTTAATTTATATTTTATTCTATTGTTCTCAATAATATTGTCTTAATTTTAATGAAAGTATAATTTTTATTTTAAAAAATAAAAGAGAAAATAATTTTTTAAAACAAAGAAATTAACTAATTAAACCATCCCCCACCCACGTCCGAGTAGTTAATTTTAGGTAAGTTAATTTCTCTGTGCCGTGTTTTTCATTTTTCCATTTTTTATAAAATAATTTTTGAGTCTTCAATTAGTTGGAAGTTTGTCCTAAAATTTGACACTTATTAATTTTTTGTTGTTACACTTGACTTCATCATATTGATTTGCTTCTCCTGTTTAATTTCTTTGTGTCCATTTTCTTAATCATTTTTTCTTTTTTTTAAAAAGAATTTTTGTATCACCAATTAGTTGGTAGTTTGTCCTAAAATTTAACAGTATTTATTAAATTTTTGTTGTTACATTTGGCATTATCATGTTGATTTGCTTCTCCTATACTATATATAGATAGATACATAGATTTTCTTTGTCGGTTTTTTCTCTTTCACCTCTTTCCTTTTTCTTTTTCTTTTCATCCTCTCTCTCTTTCGTTTCTCTTTCTCCGTCCTTATTTCTTCATACATAGCGTGTGTCTATGAAATTCAACCAATATTAAATTATTTATGGGAGGATATAGAAACATTAGAAAGGGAAAAAATAACTGATTAGTCACTAAGAAAAGTCTCAAGATGAAAGAAAAAAAGCAAAAAAATTAAATTATTTATGGGAGGATATAGAAATGGAAAAATAATTGATTAATAACTTAGAAGGAGCAGAAAAAGTCTAAAGATGAAGGGAAAAAAGAAAAAATTAAGAAAAAGACAGAGATGAATGTTGGACTATGCGGGCTGCTATATCATAATATCAGCACTCCTTGGCCTCAAAATTCTCAATATTTAAAAATAGCGGGAACATCCGAATATAATTAGAAAAAGCTTAATGTGACAATTATCTTAAATTCAAATAATGTAGACAGGGGTTTAATTAGTAGTTAGTTACATTTGTAATTTCCAACTTTTTTATATAGGACAAAAAAGCAAAATAATAAAAAAAGAAGAGGAGGAGGAAACAAATAAAAAACGAAAAAAAGGAAGAAGAAGAAGAACAATCTCCTTTAGTATCCTCAGTTATGCGGAAAATTTCCACTTTGCACTTTTGGTAACACAATAACAAAACCTCGTCACTATTCTTCTAAAATAAGTGAGAACAGATTGAAACCCCTAGTACAAAAGCTTTGTGACTCACAGAATACTTTGTTTGTGGTATTCTTTCCTATTAATAGGAACCCTTAACACGGAACCCATACTAAGTTTCAGGAAAAAATTCTTGACTAAAATTCAAATAATTAGCCTCTCCTGAGAGAGGTAATTTCTATAATGAAGTTCACTCATCAACCTTTCTCACTACAAAATACTTAACTTACGTCATTTACTCTCATGGATCACACTTGCTCGATTATTCATATCGAAGTATCTTTAATTGAGGAGTTTTTCAACATCTATATGAGTGAAAAATAAAAGCTAAATATATTTAAGGGATGACATAATTAGTGAACATAATAAGAATACCCCAACTAAGACTGACATATAGGATAAACGAAAAAGTTCAATGAAACATACCTGATCCGGAAAAAAAGTTTTATGCATGCATAATCACATAGACAAAAGAGCAGGCAAGGCCTTCATTTAGAAGACAATTAGTCAAAAAGAGAGGAGATTTTGTAACGACCCGACCGGTCGTTTTGAGCTCTAGCACGTCGTTCAGCAGTCCGAGGCCATAAACAGCATCATATCAGGTATTATGACTTGTACGCGTGGTCGGAATTAAGTTTCGGGAAGTTCAGAGCTGATTTGGAAAGAGAATTCTCATTTCGGAAACCTTAAGTTGAAAGAATTAACTAGGATTGGAATTTTGAGTAAACGACCTCGGAATCGGGACCCGAAGGTTCCAGCAGGTTTGTATGATGATTTCGGACTTAGGCGTATGCCCGGATCGGGTTTTGGATGACCTGGGAGCATTTTGGCGCCTATTGTGGAAAGTAGCATTTTGAAAAAAAAATCATAAGTTTGGGTTGAAGTGCATTTCAGTGATATCGATGTCCGTTTGGGATTCCGAGTCTGGGAGAAGCTCCGTATGGTGATTCTGGAGTTGGGAGCGCGATCGGAAGTGAATTCGGAGGTCCGTAGGTCATTTTGGAGCCATTTGGCTAAAGATAGAAATTTGAAGGTTTTTGAGAAGTTTGACCGGAAGTGGACTTTTTGATATCGGGGTCGGAATCCGATTCCGAAAGTTGGAGTAGGTCCGTAATGTCGAATATGACTTTTGTGCAAAATTTGAAGTCAATCGGACGTGATTTGATAGGTTTAAACGTCGAAAGTAGAAGTTTGAAGTTCTAAAGTTCATAAAGCTTGGATTGGAAGTCGATTCATGATTCCAGCGTTGTTTGATGTGATTTGAGGCCTCGAGCAAGTCCGTAATGTGTTTTGGGACTAGTTGGTATGATTGGTTGGGGTCCCGGGG